TTTAGGGAAAGTTGCAATGCAAAAAGCTTCAAGTCAAAGATCCAACAATGAAGTCCTCTTTAAATAGGTAAAGCAGCTCAGGTTTTCAAGGCATGGTGGAAAATGGTGATTCAGGAAAGAGAGGGATGGGTTTTTGCAGAGTAAAATGAAAATACAGCACCAATAGCACCTAAGTGTTGGTTAACTGGAAGATAAACCACATTGATTCTGGTTTTCCATACAAATGGTTGGTAATAAAAGAGTATTAGGACACCTCAGTCCATTTCCAGCAGCCACACACCTGATAAGGTTTATATTCAAAACTGGATAATTCTGATCATATTCCTGGTCAGAAGTGTGAAAGAAGAGCAGGTATAAGGCAAACACTCCCTGGGAGTTTCCCCTCAGTGATATAGAATATTTGCTCAGGAACTGAACAGTCCAATTTATACCTAAAACTGCTAAAGAAGAACTCTGATGTTATTAAGGCAAATCAATTGCTGCTGTTATAAATGGCCAAGAAATGACTTTACAGACTGCCCCAGTGTTTTACAGGAATATCCAGTAGATTAATTTGCACTGCATTCAGCTATCATTAATTAAACAGAAGCTTGTCCAACTCCTTGAGTCAATGCAGAAATTTGTGGTGGAGATCAATAGGCCAAGTACAATGGACTGAGGATCTGTTTGGGTTTTAGAAACATATCTGTGCATCCAAGCAATCAATGGTTAATCATCCCCTGGGATTAACTGCTCCAGAAATCTATATTCCAAGTCTTTAAGAGAATAGAGTGTTTCTCCACATGGTGTTTCTCAACAAGAGACAGGAATAAATCTCCTTTCAGTGGCAGCACCAGGATGGTTTCAGCCTGCTGCAATAAAACCTGTCACAGCCCTTTTTTCCTGGTGTCAGGGAAATACATTTTGCTTTTCTCTTAGCTTTAGCAACTAACTATTCAAAGGGAACCAAGACAACCTGTCCCACTGCAGCCTCCTGTGCTTGGCTGAGCTGGATCTGCTCTGCTACATTCATTACAGCTTAGGCATATGATAATGCTAATAAACTAAGCTCCTTTTCCCTCAGTGCTTCACAAATCCCCTTGGCAAACTGTTGTTTCAGCTTGGGCAAAGGAAATTTTTCCCCTATGTATTTCATCCTTAGATTTTGTAGGCAAAAAGTCTTTGATTCTGAGTTTTTCTCCTTGAAAACTTCGTTTTTCCAAGCAAGTCCTGATTCTTATTCCTATAACAACTCTGGCCACAGCAAGTGACATGAAGGCAGATGGTTTATGGTTGTGTTTGCTTCTGTGTTTGCTCTTTGAAGCATTACTCCCCAGCCCCAACCCTGGCAGTGTTCAAAGCCAGGCTGGATGAGGCCTTGAGCAACCTGCTCTGGTGGGAGGTGTCCCTGCTCAGGGCAGGGGGTTGGGACTAGATGATCTCTAAGGTCTATTCCAACCCCTAAAATTCTATGATCCTATGAATCTGGGTGGTTTAATATCAAGAAGCTCAGTCTGGATGTTAAGGAGAGCCTCAATGTTAGGGAGAAGCTGCACAGAAGGTTCTGAGGACATGGGTGATGCCAGTTTGGCTCCTTCCCATCCAAGGGAGCCAAAATAGGTGCTCAAATCTCCAAGGCAAACAGTGCTGGAGGTGCAAGGGTGAAGGGTTGTGTTTGCTTGCTGCTTTCCTGCCAGCCTTTGAGCCACGAAGAGCATTGAGTGTGTCCTACATGGACGTTTGCCTTTGAGGAGCAGCTCCAGTTTGGTGTTGGGAGTTTTCAGCACCCTGAGGCATTGTAGGGTGTCTTTGTAGGTGTTGCTCTTTGTGCCTCAGCATTTTGAACATGTCGTGCTGGAAAATCCTCATTCCTTCAGCAGTTTCTGTGGTTCTCTGACTCCATCTAGGCCTGACCTTCATTTTGTGCTGGTTCAGCCAAAAAATGAGCTCAAATGCTACAATGATTTCCAATTATCTACTAATTTTCAGCCAAGTTGCTGTTGGTGTCCACACCAGGATGGGAAGTCTCCTGGGCTGCTGCAAGGGCTCCCAGAGGGATGTCCCAAGCTCCTGGATTGATATCTCCCTGCATGACTTTACTTTCCAAGTGGAAAGAGAAGGTTGAAAGCAACAAAATCTGTGTGGATATCACCATTATTTATCTCTTTACCCACCAGGGGTTGGTTTGTGTCAAACCTAGCGAGAGTTTTGTGATGTTCAAGATGGGTTTTTTTATCTGGTTTCCATGGTAAAAATAGGAATTAGACCAGAGCTGGTGTTGATTGCAAGGGACAAAAAAATAGGTGTTACTTCCTGTGGAGAAATACCAATACCCACTAGTAGCTTAGGAGGTAAAATAATGAAATGAAAAATCAAATTATTTTGCTTTCAGAAGGGATAAAATGATGGAGTTGCTGTTTGGGTGGTGTAGGGCAGGGAAACAATTCAGAGCAGCAGCTGAGTTTGATACAAGTTTATGTCTAGTTTGGGTAATTGCAAATTTAATCATTAATTATTGAAGTTATTTGCTGAAATCTTTGTTTCAGTAGTTCCTTAGCCAAAGGTGAGGGGTCATAGGGTTTATTTTTACACTGGAAGGAATCAGAAGGACTTCAGAAACCTAAGGAATCTCAGTGTTAGCTCAATTTGTTCCTCCAGTGCTCACAAACATCATTGGCAACCACATAATGGCCTAAAAACCCCCTAATTATATCTATTTCTACAAACTAATTTATTTATTTCATGCTGAAATTGAGGTCATTTTCTCCAGCCTTTTATGTTTCTCTAATTCTTGTGGTGAAAGGAACAGACACCAACATGAAATTGTGAGTTTGGGGCATAGGCAATGGTTTTAATCTTCTTGGGAAGATTTGCTTGTATTCAAGTGGATCATTTCATGTTTAGAAAGGAAATAAACCACAAATTGGAACCTATTGCAAAGAACAACCAACAATAATTCCAACAGAAGGAAGAGCAGGGAATTTTTCCTTTAGGGCCATGAGTGTCGGTGGGGGTTTATTAGCAGCACTGAAATATTTTGGGAAGCTCTTTGGGCAAAATTTTATATATATATACACCATAGGGTTGCATTTCTGGGCTGAATTATTCACATATAAATTTCTGAGCTCTAAATTGCTGATTATTATTTTCAATCAAAATCAACTCTGTATTTCAATTTCTGATCAAATGCTTGAGCTTTGCTATCAAGGTCTGGGGAAATTGTGGCAGGAGCTTCAAGAGATGCCTTGATGTGATCTCTGTCCATAAAGATATGGAGAGTTCATGTAATCATGGAATTATTGTGGTTGAAAAGCTCTCTAAGATTGTCCAGCCATCACCTTAGCACTGAGGCCACCACTAACCATGTCCCCAAGTGCCACATCCACATGGGTGTTAAATCCCCCCAGGGATGGTGACTCCTCCACTGCCCAGCACTGTTCCAGTACTGTTCAACCCTTTCCATGAGGAAATTTTCCCTAAATTTCCTATTTTTCCCTCCCTTTACTCATGGAAAATACTTCACTGATAGAACTATTGACATCTCTGTCCTACTGCTATGAATTTAAACCTTGGAGTGTGTTAATGTTGCTGCAAGTGGAGGTTTTGGAGATGAAAATTTGCTACTATTCCAGTGCCTATTTTTCTTGCAGCAGCAAATTAAAGCTTGGAATAAAAGGTTTTCTCTCCTTAATCTTGGTGAACATGTCCTAGGGAAGAGCTTCAGCTCACTGCCAGGTGTAGTGAGCCTTGTGGAACATCTCGTTTGAGCATCACTGCACCTTTACAGTTGTTTTGGGCTGTGTGGTAAATATTTCATGCTGTTGCCTTTGGTTTGTACTGATACTGGCTGTAATAAGGCAGAATATCTGCAATTCACATTGCACATCAGCTCCCTCAGCTGAAATGTGGGTGATTCCTGCTTATCTCCAAATGAGCTGAGGCAATGGCAGAGACAACATGGCACTTTTTGGGTCATGCCTTCTCCTTAATGAGATTTCTTTGTCTTTTCATTTCTGGATGAGGCAGAGAAACAAAAGAAAGTGGATTTAGATGTTGATAACACTGTGCAGTCTATAAAGCCCAAAAATCTATGCTTGGAATTTGTTTATACACCAGCTCCTTGTTTGCTCATATTGACTTGCCTTGTTCTCTGAGATCCATCTCTGGCACTACAAGGGAATTATGCACTGAGGCCTAGTTCTCACTCCTCAACAAAAGGGGTAAATGCTTGTAAATCAAACTTCATCTCAGTGTTCTCTTGTTGCCTTCAAGCTATGTCCCAAGCAGTGGAGGTGAAACCTCATTGCCTCTAACAGGAGGTGACCCCCAGCTGAGGGGACCTGCTGCTGTCCCAGCCCTCAAAACACATCTTCAAGTGCAGTTGGCCAATGTTAGCTTAAAATCATGGAGAGCATAGGCCTATGAGTCCTGAGGAGCCAATTTAGCTTGTCAGCTTTGAAGCCTTAGGGTTTGAGAGTGAGAAGATTCACTGGGGAAGATGATGGAATGAACAGCAATTTATAAAGGAAAAATAAAGGTTATTTAACATTTTTACAAAGAAGTTTTAAACAAAAGGGGGAGATTTTGGAAGAAATTGGGAATTCAGTGAGGTCTTGAGAATGCCACAACATCTGCTTGGATGTCATCACAACCAGGGGCTTGGTGTCTTGCTGTAGTCTCTGATGAGCATCCAAAGTTCTCAAGAATTGGGTTAACTCTGCACTTGTCCATCACCAAACCACACACAAGTGCCATTGGGCTGTGCCAGGTTTGGTGCAGGACCTGTGTGGGTAGAGGACAGGCAGTTGGCAGGGAGGAGTGACCTCTGGACAACCCAATTTGTGGTCTCATGTTTGTTACAGAAATACTTAAAGGTGGTTTCAGGGAGGTTCATGGTCTTGTATCTCCAACTCTCCTGGGTGGTTTGAAGGTTGCACAAGTCTGTGTGCGCTCCAGTTTTGAAGGTGAAGACAATATCTGTGCCAAAAGCTGTGACATTTGCATTCTTCTTCTGCTTTCAGGCTGGCCAACAGCGTTGGTGGGAGCAGGAGATTACAGTGAATGGCAATATCCAAAAGGGAGAGTTAATCACCTACAACCTGACTGAGCTGATCAAGCCTGAGGCCTATGAAGTCCGTCTGACACCCATCACCAGGTTTGGGGAGGGAGACTCTACCATTCGGGTCATCAAGTACAGTGGTAAGAACTTGATGTACAAGGTGTCTTTGTCATGTGTTTCATAGGAGGTTTAGACACTCCCCAGATTCTGTATGGAAGAAGAGTATATAACTGCCTGTAAGGGACCTTAAAGCTCATCCCATTCTATCCCCTGCCATGGCCAGGGGCACCTTCCACTAGCCAAGGCTTCCAGAGGTGTTTCCTTTGGGTTTCCAAAGGACTTGGGGCTCAGGAGCTGCAATATGTACTCAATAAGGAAAGGAAGTTGCACATTTTCCTGTCAGTCAGTGTAGGAGCCATGACCAAGGTCTTGAGGGGCAGGGAACAGTGGGAAATTTAGGAAAATGACAGTATTGATGAATTAGAACTTTTCCTTTCTGCTAATTTTATTTTCCTCTCTCTTCCAGCTCCAGTGAATCCACATCTACGTGAGTATTTCAGTTGTTATCTCTCATGTGTTTGAAGAACTGCCCTGACATTTGGGAGTAGCTAAACCCCCTGCCCAGTGCAGGGACATCTCCCACCAGAGCAGGTTGCTCAAGGCTTTAGCCAACCTGGCTGTGAACACTGCCAGGGTTGGGGCAGCCACAGCCTCCCTGGGCAACCTGTGCCAGTGTCTCACCACCCTCACAGGGAAAACTTCTGCTTAAGATCTAATCTACATTTTCCTCTTTCAAATTCTCCCCATTGCTCCTTGTCCTGTCCCTGCAGTTTCTACCCAGGAGTCCCTCTGAGCTTCCCTGGAGCCCCTTCAGCTCCTGGCAGGTTGCTCTGAGGTCTCCACACAACCTTCTCTTCTCCAGGCTGAACAGCCCCAACTTCCTCAGCCTGTCCTTGTAGAGAAGGTACTCCAGTCCTCTGATCAGCTTTGTGGCCTCCACTGGCCTTGCTGTCACAACATATTCTGCCATGACTCTTCCTTTGAATACCAAATACCAAAACTCTTCCTGCCTAGAGAATGGGGTTCATTCTTCCACTATTCCAGCTGCAGGGCAGCACTGTCAGGCAGCACTGGGCTCTGTGTGGGCAGCATTTCTCCATCTCTCAGGATCCACATCTAAGCCTTTCTGCAAATTTGAAGCTTGTTTGCAGAAGATCTTGTGCAATGTATTACTAATGCAGCAGGGCTCAGTTCAAAGCTCACAGGAGCTGCAGGACCCACTTCCACTGCCCTAAACGAGCAGTGGATGAGACTCTTTGCTAATTAATATATTCAGTATAGACTCTATGATGTTAAGAGCTAATGCATTGCAACCCCAAGTGCTTCATGCTGTAGTTCTCTATGGTTTTAAGGTCTCAAACTGATTTTCAGTGTCTCTGTAGCTCTTGTAGGCCCGTGGTAGAGTGTGGGTGGCACCAGAATGGCCCTTGCAATAGGGAGTGTTAGCTCAGAGAGGGATGGGGAAGTTTGTCCACCAAAACCACAGGGGATACAGTGTCACTTCTTTCAGATGACCAAACACATGGTAAAGTTTTGGTTTCATGAAGAATTTTTGAGTGAAATCCTTTGACAAGTAAGAAATCTTGGTCTGCTGACTAGGGTTCAAACCTGGAAGCTGTAAGATAAATATTCTGTCTCCCATCTCTGTCCCCCCAGCACTGCCAAGGCCACTACTAACCATGTCCTCAGATGCCATATCCACATGGCTGTTAAATCCCCTCCAGGGATGGTGACCCTACCATCGCCCTGGGCAGCCATGTCAGGGCTGGGCAATCCTTCCCATGAATAAATCTTCCCTAATATACAGCCTCAACCTCCCCTGGTACAACTTGAGGCCATTTCCTCTTGTCCTGAGGCTGTTTCCCTTTGTCCTGTCCCTTGTTCCCTGGGAGGAGAGCCCAACCCTCACTCAGGATTCTTAAGCTCAGTAAGTCCCTTGCTCCAGAATGGACCTCATGGTCTGTTCATTCTGTTTGACCTCTTGGTACCTTGTTGCCATGAAGAAATATCCCCTAACATCTGATCCAAACCTCCCCTGGTGCAACTTGAGGCTGTTCCCTCTGATCCTGTCCCTTGCTCTCTGGGAGCAGAGCCTGACCCCACCTGGCTGCACCTCCTGCCAGGAGCTGGAGAGAGTAGAAGGTCCTCCTGAACCTCCTTTTCTTCAGGCTGAGCCCCCCCCCAGCTCCCTCAGCTGTGTTTTCTACAAAAGCTCTTTTGTTCCTAAACCTGTTGGGCCAATTTCTGATCTTGTTTGCATAATTTTTAATGAAGAGTAAGATCTGTATACAGCCAGGAAAAGATTCCTCATTAGAAACTGAAGTCAGGTTCTGCTTGCTTCAATCTTGGAATAATCACATTGCCTAAATCCTTCCTTTTTATGCATTTTCTTCCCTATATAAGGAACCAGCACCAAAAGACCTCAACTTTGAGATGCAGCCTCACATTTCATTTTCTAATGTATAATACAAACCATTTCATGTAAACCACAAGGATTTCATAGCCACTTGTACAATTAGATGTCACACCTGAATAATGGAAGAGATCAAATGTTAGGGAGTCACATCTGACTCAAATTTCATGGACAAAGATCTGTACTACAATGAGGAATTTTCACCTTGAGAGCAGGTTCAGATTTTGCCCTAATTGGCAATGGAAATATTAATAACCTGAAGCCACTTGCAGAGCTTTGGCAAGAATCAACCACTATTTCTAATGTTAATTAGCACTGTCATTAGAGCCAGGAACTGGAGAAACCATGGGTGCTGGGAGAAGGGGTGGCTGTTCCTCCTGCCCATTCATGAACACATCAAGACCATCCAGATCTATTTAATTGCTTGTTTCTTGCCTGAGAAAATTACTGAGCTAATCTTGGGGAGCTAGTTCCCATTTTTATTCCTTTGTCATATTTTAGGGAGTGTTTTGTGCCAGGAACATTTAGCACTAACCTTTCCCAATGAATTCCACATAACACTAGTGTTTTCCTAGCAAATAAATGGCAAACGGTGACTTAGTTTATTTTTCCTCTGGCCTGAATATTTATGTTGTTCTGGTATTTTTAACCCAAAGAAAAATCTTTTGTTCTGCTGATGTGGAATTGCTTAATGAAGCTCTGAGGGCACAGTGTGCCATCCCAAAGCAGCTCTTAAGGTGCTGGAAGGACAGTGTAGGAAGTGCTGACTAGCTCAAAACTCTTTGTGATGCTTCACTTTGCTTCAGGACTGGATCTGGTAGTCACAACTTTTCTCCTTTCCTTACTGATTTGCCTTTAATTTCATTGTGCTGTGTAAAAGCAGCAAGTTTTGTGCTATAGCAAGGGGTTGGCTAAGTGGAGGTGGAAGCCAAATGCATAAAAGATGGTGTAAAACAAGAGAATTTGGAGCTCAAGTGGCATAAAAGGTGTTCTTGGAGATGAGAGGCACAGCTGGACTTTGATCAAAAGCTTCAGTTGAGTCCTTGTGTCTTGCAAGAGCATTGTCAGGGTTCTGCATTCCCTTCCTGGTCTTGGGATAAAGGTGGAGGTGTTGGTCTGTATCCACTCACATGGTTCTCTCTTGAAGGATGTTGGAGGCAATCATAGCCTCAGCACAGATCCATGGAATGGTTTGGGTTGGAAGGGTTTTAAAGCTCATCTCATCCCACCCATGGTTTATTTTGGTGCCTAAATGCCTGGCAGGAGGAGGTTGTCATTCCATTGTCACCCAGCAGCTTGGAGCACTGGTCTGGTGTGTCTCATGGACCTCTCACCCAAGAGAGGGTCCCAGGAATCTTCTCTGGGGTTCTTGACAATCTTTATGCTTCAGAGCTAGAATTTTGCCTGAAGTATCTCATAGAAACCTTAGTGTGAGGCCAGGAGATGTGCTCAGAACAGGACACACTCCCCTGTCCTGCACATACAGGTTCAGATAGACCTAAACCTTCCTTCCAGGTATTTGTCTGTTTGGATATTACACTCCAGTGATGAGGACTCGATGCTCTTCCTGAGCAATCCATCCACATCCTGCACATCCTTCGAACTCCTTTGCCCTCATTTCAGCCACTAGTTCCTTTACCATCCCTTTGGAAAACCAAGTTTAGGAGGTGTCACTTGCAGATAATCTTTCTATTTCAAAGAGCTGCTGTGCTCTTTTCCCTAATGCTCTTATCCCTACAGCAAAATAACCCTTTTTTCCCATCATAGTTCATGTTTTATGGACATTCTGCCTGTTCTTCCAAGTGCAGCAGGGTAAGAAGAGCCAACACCTGTAAGAGCAACTCTATAAACCTGAATGTGTGAGGAGGATCTCTGCAATAAGATTTAAATATCATTTCAAGCAGCACCAACACAGATTGATGATCATAATTTATTTTTGTTCAGGTTGCTGCAAAAGAAAACTCCATTAAACACTAGAAACTGCTGTAAAATAAATATACATCTATTTTCCAGTGCTGTTAATGAGCATCATCCCACACCAAATTCATTATCACTGACAAGTGCTTGGAAAAACAAGGATTGAACAGCTTCAGCCACTAAATCTCTGCTCTGTGCTATGTTGGCAGGAGAGTTCCACTGTGGCTTTGAGGATGGGAACATTTGCCTTTTCACACAAGATGACACAGACAACTTTGACTGGACAAAACAAAGCACTGCCACGAGGGACACCAAGTACACCCCGAACACGGGGCCCAACGCTGACCGCACGGGCTCCAAGGAAGGTAAGGGTCACTGGAGTTCCTGGTGTTGCTCTCATGGGGTGAGGGAGGTGTCCAGGACAGCCAGTTCAACCACCTACATCATTATTCATGACCACAGAATTCCAGAATGGTTTGGGTGGGAAGGGACATTCAACCCCATCTCATCCCCCCCCCTGCCATGGGCAGGGACACCTTGCACCAGCCCAGGTTGCTCCAAGCCCCATCCAACCTGGCCTGGAACACTCCCAGGGATGGAGCAGCCACAGCTGCTCTGGGCAACCTGTACCAGTGCCTCAGCACCCTCATAGGGAAGAATTCCTTCCCAATATCTAACATCAATTTCCCCTCTGTCAGTTTGAGTCCATTCCCCATTACTCCTGTCACTGCAGTTCCCGATGCAGAGTCCCTCTGCAGCTTCCCTGGAGCCCCTTCAGCTCCTGGCAGGTGCTCTGAGGTCTCCACACAACCTTCTCTTCTCCAGGCTGAACAGCCCAACTCTCTCAGCCTGTCCTTGTTGGTGTTGGCTGTTCAGGGATTTGCTCCTGTGCCCTAGTCCAGGTTGTTCCAAGCCATATCCAGCCTGGCCTGCAACACTCACAGGGATGGGGATAGACAAGATAAACAAGGATGACTTGTTTATTACATCTTTGGACACACAAATGAGGAACAAATGGTCATTCTGCTGCAGTTCCTGTTGGACTTTGGCTCCTTGTTTGACCTATTTACCCTATATGTGCCTATTTCCTGGCTGTGGTTGGAGACTGCTCTCTGCACATGTACAAGGGAAAGACTTGTCTCCAAGCCTTGTCCAGCACTTCCAGGGCAGTCACAGCTGCTCTGGGCAACCTGTGCCAGTGCCTTACCACTCTCAGAGGGAAGAATGCCTTCCCAATATCCCATCTAGCCCTGCCCTCTGGCAGTGGGAAGCCATTCCCTGTCCTGTCCCGCCAGGCCCTTGTAAATAGTTTCTCTCCCTGTTCCAGTGTCTCACTGCTCTCACAGGGAAGAATTCCTTCCCAATATGCAATCTAAATCTACCCTTTTTCAGCTTAAAGCTATTCCCCCATGCCTTGTCTGTCCATCCCTTGTCCCAATTCCCTCTGCAGCTCTCTTTCTTGGAGCCCCTTTAGGCACTGGAAGGGACTGTAAGGTCATGCCAAGAATAATTACACTTCAAGGACTTTTAGAACAGAGACATGTGGCTGCTCCCAGAGCACAGCCCTCTAACAGTGCCATTAACCATCTTGTCTTGGCTCTGTTGTACCATTTCCTAAGTGATTGCTTTATGTTATAGCCTGGTGGGGAAATCTTCTGCCTCATCTTGACATATTCTTCTGGTTTATGTCACTTAAAATCTAACTTGGCCTTTCTCAGCCTGGCACAAGGAGGTGGGTTTTGCCCCTTTTTTGCTTTGGGTCTGTTTAAAATGTGGAGTTTCCAATCTGTTCCCCCTATTCATGTGCCATTTTGACTGAAGTGTGTTTGCATTTGAAAAGTCAGACACATTGTGCTGCATTTATCCAGTGCTGCTGTAACTCAAGTTATTTTATTGTGTGCCTCATTCCCAAAGGGGAAAAAATTCATCCTGCAGCATATTCACTGGGTTGGATTGAGTAAATACTATCTCAGTGCTTGGCACAGTCCAGGAATGGAATAAATGAATATTTTCTTCCTTGTGATTGACACGGCCAGTTGAAAATATTTCTTGCAAGGTTTCCAGCATGAGATTTCCCCTTTATTTTACAAGTCAGTCCTGCTCACTCTTCACAGGGACAAATTGGCACCTCGAGACAGGGCTGAGCCTCATCATAAAGATTTTTTGCTTGTGCATATCCATGTTGCATCCATTTCACCAGGCCTGACCTGCTAGCCTGGATATTAGTTTTCATCAAAAACATGACTTTGAAGCAGCTTTTGAGGATACATGTGCTTAAAGCAGAAAGAAATACAGCCCAGGAACCATGGTGGTGGTAGAGGGGTGGGAACAATTCATCAATATGCTTTGTAGTTCTTCTGCTTGTGTTTGTGGTGGGTTGGCCCTGGATGGATGCCAAGCACCCCCAAAAGCTGTTCTGTCACTGCCCTCTGCAAACAGAGAAGAGAAAACATAACCAAAGGGTCATGGTTGAGATAAGGACAGGGAGAGATCACTCATCAAATACAACCATGGATAAAACAGACTCTCTGGCCACAATTACTTCTGCTCAATATTTTTTTTTTTACTTCTTAACTCTGTTATCCCAGAGGTGTTACCATCACCACTAATCCTTGGCCAGAGGCAGCTCCATCCTGGAGCTGCTGCATTGGCTCTGCTGGACATGGGGAAGCTTCTAGCAGCCTCTCCCAGCAGCCACCCCTGTAGCCCCACCACTGCCAAACCCTGGCCCTGCAAACCCACCACAGTGTTGAAGGACCTCAAGCTAAACCTTTTCATTTGGCCTTTCCCAGGTTTCTACATGTACATTGAGACATCCCGGCCCAGACTGGAGGGGGAGAAGGCCAGACTGGTCAGTCCTGTCTTCAGCGTCGCTCCCAAGAACCCTTATGGAGCCACCAACACAGCCTACTGCTTCAGCTTCTACTATCACATGTATGGACAGCACATAGGTGAGAGAAAGCCAGTGGAATTGTCTTTTCCCTCAGGGAGAAACAGCAGGAGAAATGGCCTCTGGTATCAAGGAAATGCCTGAGAGGACCATAAAACCTTCAAGTGTTGGCCAGTTGCAACCCAAACCAGAGAGGGACTCTTGGTTAGGAACTGAAGTGGTAGGACAAGGAGTAATGGAGGTAAATGGAAAGACTGGAAGTTAGATTAGAGATTAGGCAGAAGTTTTTCCTGTGAGAGTGGTGAGACACTGGCACAGGCTGCCCAGGGAGGCTGTGGCTGCCCCAACCCTGGCAGTGTTCACAGCCAGGTTGGCTAAAGCCTTGAGCAACCTGCTCTGGTGGGAGGTGTCCCTTCCCAGGGCAGGGGGTTGTCACTAGATCATCTCTTAGATCATTCCAAGCCCTTAACACTCTATGAGACTATGAAACTAGCAAGAGAAGTGTCTGAGAGTGCCCAAATCTGTGGAATCACCACATTCCCAGGAGCCTTTCTTACAGCTGGGAAGCATTTCCTGGATGCATGAGGTTTTGAACAAGAAACTTTAGAGCCTGAGAAGAGCAAAGTTGCTACTAGCAAAGACTTTTCTTGCTGCTAAGGGAGTGTTTTGAGTCACTCCTGGCTGGATTGAGGGACAGGCAGTGAGAAGCAGCATCCCTCACATGCTGTGTGATGCATCAGCACATGGTTCCTTTGTAAAAGTCAGGAATCATTTGCTCCTAAGCTGCAGGAATATGAATTTTCTAGGTAGGTCTCTAAGTCTATTGCTAGCCCTTAGCTCTTTCAACACACATTTGATTTCTTGGTGTGGCATGAAAAAAAGACGTGGCAAAATGAAGTCTAAATGGCAGACAACCAATTTTTCCTCTCTAAATCCCTGTGGGGTGCTTAGTGCTTCCCCATGTGTCCAGAGGCTTTCCAGTGCCAACTGCCCTGCCTTGATGCATTTATATATATATATATACTTCAAGGGCAAACACCTCCTCCCAGTGCTTTCTGGTGGTTTCTCCATCAATTCTTCCCTTGCCTTCAGGCAGAGTTGGGATTTTAAATAGAGCAGACAAGTTCAGTTAGGGTTTGTTAGTCAGCTCTGTGCTGGGAGAAGGTGGATGCGGCCCCAGGCTGGAATTCTCCTGGCTCTGTGTTGCAGCAGGAGCTTGGGTGGTTGTTGAAGGGAAGGGATTGAGCTTAGTGAAGATACATAAACTGCCTTATATGATCATGTTCTGGTCATATTCTGCTCCTATTCTGCTGCTATTCTTATCACATTCTGGTCCTGTTCTGGTCATATTCTGCTCAGTTGGAGATTCCAAAATCCAATTGTACCTGGTGCTGAGCAACCTGCTTTAATCTGCCATGGTTGGATGGGATGATGTCCAGAGGTACCTCCAACCTCAGTGATTCTGGGGAAATATTTAATTGAATAGAATTTTTCCAAATTACATTTTATTAAGGATTAATCCCTCATGGATAATTCTAAATCTTATTGCTGGCACAGACTGACAGTTTTATCAGGAGCCCTGACCCTTCAGCACTCCTCTGGAATTTGCAGCTGACATGTAGAAGGAGCTTCTTATCCCCATTTGGGAAGGAGCTCTGCCAATCAGGGCAGCTCTTGGCTTAGTACCCACTCCCACCTCATGGATTTAGCCACAAGAACAGGGTAGGAGCTGCTAACTGAGACTTTGTATATTATAGAATCTCAGAATGGTTTAGGTTGGAAGGGAACTTGAAGATTATCTAGTTCCACCCCCTGCCATGGGCAGGAACACCTTCCACCAGCCCAAGTTACTCCAAACCCCATCCAACCTGGCCTGGAACACTCCTAGGGATAGAACAGGGAGTCAGTTCTTTACACATTTATCTAGATCTTGGAATAGTTTGAGATCTTTAGGAGAATTCTTGCTGGACACACCTCTGTGTGTGAACCCAAAGCCAACTCATGGAATGTGTCCCTGCCCGTGGCAGGGGGTGGAATCAGATGATTGGTCCTTCCAACCCAAACCATTCCATGATTCTGGAGCCCTTCTTCTCTGGGGCCAGGCTGGGAGAGCCAGGAATGTCCAGTCTGGAGAGGAGAAGGCTCCAGGGAGACCTATGTTCCTATTATAATACAGCATAATACAATATAATTATGTTTGGAAGAGGGATGAGGTCTAGCAGCCACTCACAGCCCTGCACAGCCCCATGACATCAACCTGGGTTGGCTCAGGGAACCCTCTGAGCATTTCTCTCACAAGCTCTTTCTGCTTTAGGTCTTCTTCTGCTGTGTGTGGAGACAGGGTCAGAATGTCCTCATCAAAAGCCACATTCCTTTGTCCCCTGAAATTCCAGCCTGGAGTGGTGCAGTGGGAGCAGGTGGGACCTGCTCCTGCATCTCTTCCCACATCCCTTGGAGGAAATGTATGGCCTTACTCTGGGCACCCCAGTGCAAGAGCCATGAGGAGAATATTTCCTGCTCCATTACACATTTAGCCTCATGTTTTTCAAGGCACTGAGTTTGGGTCTGGCTGGAAAGAGGACGTTTTTATTAGCAGGAGCTGAGTCACTGTGCAGCTGCCTCAGATCTCAGACCTTTCCTTGCCAATGGTGTTTGTGCAAGCTGCACAGCTGCCAGGCCAAGCAGTCTCAGAAACACACTGCTCTCCTGTGAACTTGACTGGCTGAACTTTCTCAAGTTCAGGGAAATGCAATGATTTACAGAGCACAGAGGCTCCAATGCCACGCACATCTCAGGCAACAGCCATGGGCAAAAGGGACCAAATGCCCAAACTGTGGGACTTACTGAACTCTGAGAAGTGACATCAAGGCACCTCCCACCAGAGCAGGTTGCTCAAGGCTTCATCCAGCCTGGTTTTCAACACTGCCAGGGTTGGGACAACCACAGCCTCCCTGGGCAACCAGTGCCAGTGTCTCACCACCCTCACAGGGAAAACTTCTGCCTAAGATCTAATATAAATTTCCCCTTTCAATTCATCCCCAATACCCCTTTTCCTGTCACTGCAGCTCCTAACCCAGAGTCCCTCCCTGGAGCCCCTTCAGCTCCTGGCAGGTTGCTCTGAGGTCTCCACACAACCTTCTCTTCTCCAGGCTGAACAGCCCCAACTCCCTCAGCCTGTCCTCATAGGGAAGGTGCTCCAGTGCTCTGATCAGCTTTGTGGCCTCCTCTGGCCTTGCTTCAACAATTCCATGTATTTCTGCTGTTGAGGACACCAGAGCTGTGTGCAGCACTCCAGGTGGGAACTCACCAGAGCAAAGAATTTATGACAAGGAACTCTACTCCCACTGAGCCCCAGTAGAAGCCCATGGAGAACGGGAAGAGGGTGAGGAGGGACTGAGCTGGAGCCTCCCAGCTCCATGGGAGACTGTAACCAACTCCAGTTCTCCTCTCTTGCAGGAAGCTTGAACGTTTACCTGCGCTTGAAGGGTCAGACTGCAATAGAGAACCCTCTGTGGTCTTCAAGTGGAAACAAGGGGCAGCACTGGAACCAAGCTCGTGTGAATATCAACCCTCCCACTTCATTCCAGGTAATGCCTCCTTCAGCACACTGGGGGTGGGAGGATTCAGTTTTGGGGGGGAACTGTGTCCACTGACCCTTTGCTTCTGACCCATAGCTTCATTTGAGCTCTGAGAGCTGTTTATGGGCAGATAATTGCTTAGCTTGCTTTAGGTTAACACAATGGAGCTTACTAATTCCACTAATGGTAGCACAGCAGCTGTTTGTGAGGACAAAATACCTTTCAGCTTCCAGAAGATGCTGGTGCTGATAGAAAAAATTTAGAGGTTTGGATTAGCAACTGGAATATACAATTGTTTGCTGTGGGAAATGATTTAGGGCCTGTGTTAGAGGTCTCTGGGAATACATGTTTTGTGCAGAGAAAGGAATGATCTGTGAGTCTTTGCTGTACCAAACATCTGTGCTGCCTGCCCAGAGCTCCTGTTGAAGGAGACACATGCTAGTTCTGACAGGTTTTCACACATTTCATGTGTGGTTTGACACTGTGATGCTGACAGACCATTACAGCACTTCTCGTGCTGGCTGAGAGCTCTTTGGAGCTGGAACAAGCCCAAAGGGACAGTGCTGTGGGCAGGGACTGCTGTGTGTGAGCCTGGGGGTGCTGTCATGGCACAGGGGAGTGACAAGCCATGCCCTGTGGGGTGATGTTCTCCTCTGTCCTCTCCCTGTGACTGCCAAGTCCCCTGCGGAGAGATTGGCTCCTGGGAAAAAAACCTCATAGACACACAGAGTGGTTTGGGTTGGAATGGAGCTTAAAGCTCATCTCATCCCACCCCCTGCTATGGGCAGGGACACCTTCCACTAGCCCAGGTTGCTCCAAGCCCCATCCAACCTGGCCTTGAAGTGTCCTTCAGTGCAAATCAAAACTCCTATGTTAAATATTGCACATTGGGATTCACTTTATGGGTAATTCCTGAGCCTGAGCCTTTGTTTTAACTTCCATGCATGAGAGGCAATGACAGGAGAGAAACAACTTGGGATGTGGGATCACAGAAGCATTGCATGAAGGGAAGTGAGAGGAAAATTGAAGGAGAGAGATATGTGAGGCATAGCGTGACATGATAGAGATCTGAGGCTGTTCACCTGGAGAAGAGAAGCTCCAGGGAGACCTTAGAGCCTCTTCCAGTGCCTAAAGGGGCTCCAAGAGAGCTGCAGAGGGACTTGGGACAAGGAATGGAGGGACAGGACATAGGGAATGGCTTCACAATGCCAGAGGGCAGGGACAGATGGGATATTGGGAAGGAATTGGTCCCTCTGAGAGTGGTGAGACACTGGCACAGGTTGCCCAGAAGCTGTGGCTGCTCCATCCCTGGGAGTGATCCAGGCCAGGTTGGATGGGGCTTGGAGCAACCTGGGCTGGTGAGAGGTGTCTCTGCCCATGGCAGGGGGTGGGATGAGATGAGTTTTAAGGTCCATCCAACCTAAACCATTCTGGGATTCTATAATGTGTGAGAGGATCAAAGTGGCAGAACTGGGGAGGAAGAGGCCAGAAAAGAGGGATGTGAGTGTGAAAGCACAAACTGGGCCAAGGACAAGGAAGCTGATCATAGCATGTGAGTTTTGCATTGGTGACAACAGGATGAATCCAAGAGGTCTGAACAGGGAAGGACAGAGAATTTACTTAAGTCTCTGAACCTAATAAATGGCCTAGTAAAGGGAGGGAAGAGATGTGTGAGGAAGCTGAAAGACAAAGTGATTTGAGCGATCTGAGTGGGTTTCTGGAGATCTGGTAGGGGCTTTAGCAGAAGCAGGAGAAGGATGAGGACCTCAGCTCTGGACAGGGAGATGCAAAGGCCTTGACACCAGCAATGCAGAGGAGGGAGGAGGGTGATGGGCTGCAAACCTCAGGTCACCTCATGAGTGTGGAGAGGAAGGCATGGGGTTAGGGAGGGCCGTGATGAGCTGTCTGCCTTGCTGGGTCCATTGGGGTGAGGCCTTGGCAGAGCGTCCAGAGGCCACAGCCAGCAGCTCCCAGTTGCCGTGCTGCTGGGGTCATTCCTACTGCTGCATGTCACTGACATTGCCATAAACCCACACTCCCAGTGCCACTAACTGGTGCCCCAGGCCAGAGCTCCTCTCCTTGGCTGCTTCTCACCCTTTACCTTGCTGTGTTTAAAGGCTTCAGCATCATATCAATGTGAAGCCACAAAGCTCTGCCCAAATACACCAAATAAATGTCACAGTTCTTGGAACCTTAAATTACTTTTTTTTTAGAAGCTCTTGCACCAAGCAAACTTTATTTTCCATTTAGGAGTCTAAGTAGGGAAGAATATAAACCTCCCAGTTAAATTTAAGGATGGGGAATTGAAGTGAAGCTTTGCAGTAAAAGAGTACACTGACATGGAAATTAAAACTTTTTATAGGTCAATTTATAGGGGTAGAAGATTTTATACCTTCCCAGTGCCCAGGAGATAGAACACAGCTTCTGTCATGAGGAACTGGAGGCCTAGAGTGCTTTGAAACTCAAAACATATTGCAGAAATCTAGCTCAGATACTCATTTATTAAGTGGAAAGAGCACATGGAAGGGACACATTGCTGCTGGCATCTAGGACAGGGTCAATTTGGGGTCAGGTGATGATTTGGATGATTGTGATTAGATTTATTGCTAATATAGTATCTAAATATTGCCAATGCAGCAACTGAATAACAGCTCTGTGATCTATTACAATGGATTATGGCATCATCAGGTTGTGGTCCCTCCTGTTGTCATGAGTTGTTGGGTCACTGTATGGACTTCTCAGAGAAGCTCAGGTGCAGTTCAGTCTACTCAGGCACCTTTCTTCCCAGTCCCCAGTAGATCTGTCATGAGGAACTTGGGGACTACAGTGCTCAGGCTCAGCTTTGATCACGCTCTGTGTCCAAAGGGATCTACTATCAGCAGGTTGGGCTGGGAATGTACAGGATTCCAGCCCTTGGCCTTGCAGGATTTACACTTACAAAGCACCCGTGGAGCTACTGTAGGATTTTATCTCTGGATTTGACCATATCTTGTTGATTTTCACTTACCGATCCAAAAACAAGTGTTCCCCATCTTTGGGCTGGACATATCCTGCAGGTGTTCCTGTCAGGGTGGCATCCACCCAGAAGCTCCCTGGAGCCTCAGGAGACCATTTTGCCCAGTCGTCCCAGTCTCCAGAAGCATTTTAAACCCTTTTGCAGGTTGATGTGCACCAAAATCAATTGCAGCCTCTCAGCTCCACATCTCTGGGTGCAACACCAACCTAATGTGCTGAGCTGGGGACCAACCACAGTGCCCAGCAGACATGGAGGAAAGGGAGAGGACACACAGGAAGACCCAACTATCTTTTGTCTCATCACTGGAGTTCCTCTTTGCTTCATATTAGACTGAGATGGGGGGTAAACATCTGTCTGAAATCCTGTTGAGGAATTATAGGATCACCGAGTGGTTTGACTTGGAAGGAGCTTAAAGCTCATCCCATCCCACCCTCTGCCTTGGGCAGAGGCAACTTCCACTAGTCCACGTTTCTCCAAGCCCCATCCAACCTGGTCTGGAACACTCCCAGGGAAGAAGCACAAGCTGAATCCCCCAGAGACACTCAGGATAGGCATTACAGGGTCTTATTCCATTTCCCCTCTAAGTGAGCAGAGTTCCCTGTGGTGTACCCCTAAGCTCTCTGTAGTGTTCCCCTAGGCTTTCCATTCTCCAGCTAAATACAGTATTTTTAACAGCTTTGTAAAGCCACAGACATGCAGATAATGGGGTTTTTTGGGATGCTGATAGGGAATTCTGATCATCTGGCACGTCCTGCACATTGCTATGTGCTGTGCCAACACACATCTGGCCTGATTTGCTCTGAGCATGTGGCCAGGCTGGCTGATAGCAGCACCTCTCTGAGGACCCTGAGACACTGCCAAAGGCAGAGTTTAATTAAATGCTGCTGTGCTTGTGGAGAATGCTTTTGTCTGCAGAGTCTTTTTCCATTCCCAGGCAAAATCTGCCTCTAAACTCCATTGACTGGGGCTGTGGCTCCTGCCAAGGAGCAGCAGAGCTGGACTTTGGGGAAGGAGAGAAGACACTTTCCTCTTGAGCTGGAAACTTCCCATCAGTGGTTGAGTAAAAAATCATCAGAGAGATAATTAATTGAGCCATTGTTTTCAGACAACAGAGGAAATGCTGGAAAAAACTTCCTGTTTTCACAGTTTTTCCCTGTTGTATCTATATCCCAAGCACATCCATGTGGTTTAATCTGTGCCAATGGAACATTTCTCACTCCTCACCCTCTGATCTGCTCCTTCTCTCTTGTTTTGCAGCTGATATTTGAAGGGATCCGTGGCCCTGGCATTGAGGGGGACATTGCTATTGATGATGTGTCCATTGTGGAAGGAGAGTGTATGAAATCAGACCAACCAGCCAACAGTAAGTGCCTCTTCCCCAGCCTGGGGAGAGCAAGTTGCTTCTTGTCTTTATATATTTGAGACAACTTCCAGGAGATTGTTTTCCGGGAGAACAAGATCTACTTTGGTGCAGCTGGAGAGGCTTAAAGTGAGATGTTTTACTTGGAAATGACTTTGTTTCCAGGGAGGTTGAGCAGTGTGAAAGTCTGATGGGTTAGGTAGAAGAGAGAGCAGTGGGTGACTCCATGGGCAGCCACAGCTTGAGATACACATAAAACAACATTAAAACAAGATCCAGGGGGTACAAACAATATAAAATTGATGAAAATGAGTGTTGTGATTACCTGTGGATGTTGTTTCATCCTCCCACCTCTATATGTGCATTGCAGCACAGACCATAACTATGCAACCAAGTGGGTTTTCATCCCAACATCTCCTGCTTTATCCTTGAGGGGCAGGAGGGCTATGTTCTGCTCTGTTCTTGAAGGACAAGAGGCCTATGTCCTCTTCTGTCTTGAGGGACAAGAGGGCTATGTTCTGCTCTTCTTGAGGGCCAGGAGGGCTATTCTCATCTCCTCTTTGTAGGAGGTGCCCTGGCAGAGCACTGTCCCTCCAGGGGAGGTTGGTGGCACAAGTGGAGACAGCCTGGGTGAGCATCAGCCTGTTCCCTCCCCAGCTGCCTCCACTCTGGGGTGCAGGACAGGTCATGGTGGTTGACCCCTTGATCTTCTAAGCCTTGTAGCTATCTGACTGTATCTGAGCAGCTCTTTAATTGTGCCTTTCCCCCCCCCTTTGTAGATTTACGATCAGGTGCTGTTGGGACATTAGAGCATATACGACTTCTCCCAGTTCTCATCCTCATGTCTGTCTTAAGTCATCAGAGGTGACCTTATCCTGGCAGAGGCTACAACAGATTCAACAGGCACTGGCATGAAGAAAGAGTCTTTGTTCAAAATGGACATTTCCAAACAAACTACCAAAGATTCCTCCACTGACTGACTCGAAAGTGAAATAACTACATAAATAACTGAGCATAAAAACAATTCAGAAAGCACTGGGGACATGAAAAGGCATCACAGGAGTGTAACTCACTGGGAACCACGTGTGAGGACGAGATCTGGCCTAAGGAAGGAAGAGACCTTCAGGTGCTTTTGTGGTCACTGATGAAAACAGCATCATCTGGTTGAACTCTCGGCAAAGAGCTGTAGAAACCCTTGTCAAAGCACAAAGTCATGGCTGGTTTTGTTTCAAATGAATAGTTTGCTTGTTACCATGGAAACCTAAAGGCCTGCCAAAACAACAAAATGAAGGAGAGAGAGGAAATAAACACAAAAAAGAGAGCAACACCTCACTGTACACAGGGTATGTGAAGAGCTGGCATTCATTTTCCCCTTCCAGAAGGGTTTTAGTCTCGAGTGAAAGCAATGTAGGCCCTTCCTACCCTTTGGCTGTCACCTCCCCTAGGGAATAACCCCAAACCTGAGCTGTTTTCAACCCTTTCTGTTTCATTTCTCATGGCTCTGCTTGCTAACTGTATGCTGTCTCCTTTTGCATGCATTTACTATCCAGGATGTGCCACCTGGGCTTACATATTACACAGGCTTAGAGGAGTTTGCTTGCAGCCACTCGAACACCCTCTCCCCTCCCCAACTAAGTCATCTTGTTCTGAGGAAGTGAAGAAACCAAACCACCATCTTTTATAAATTGCCATGGAAACCAAGTGCCTTCAATGAAACAAGCCTGATTTCAAACAAACAAACAAACAGAAACAACCCCTAGATGGATGAGTAATGAGTCCAACCTGGAAGCTTTGCACTGCTAACACCTGTGGGTTGTGCAAACTCTTTTCTAACCTAACTCTGGAGCCTGGGAGTGCAGCCTGCAGGCAAGGAGATGGAGCTGCTGCCAGAGATGGATGGACCTCAGCTGCTGAGTAAGCCCTTTGGGATGAGATGTGTGTGGTGTAACCTTCCAGCTAGCCATGGCCTTTCAGCTTCTTATCCATTAGAAAATTAGCTTCCGTTGGGCCTGGAAATGGGAGCAGCACTTTTTTGTTGTTGTTGTTGTTGTTGTTTCAGGTTCTCAAGTGGGTCAACCAGAGGTTGTTGAGATATACACACACTTAGAAGTGGGGGAAACACACAAGTGGTTTCCTTGCTCTTCCCCTTCCATGGGGAGACAGCTGGGAGGGATGTTGGGAGGAGACCAAGCACCCAACACCACCAGGGCTGGGGCCCTGCCCCAGAGCCACACTCAGAGGTGCAGAGAGTGACAGATTAGTTTGGTATTGTAGCAAAATTTAAAGGAAAAATCTGGAAAAAAAGCGCCACTTTTCCAAGGAAAAAGTAAAAGCTGTACAAAATGGGTTGGAGCTACCCAAACACATGAGGTTTTCCACTGCATTGTCAAGTTCCTTTCCAGTTGGTTATGATAATTTGAAGAGCTTTTTGCTTGAATTCCCTTCCAGTTGGTAATGACAATTTGAAGAGCTTTTTCCTTGAATTATCTCAGCTTTTAAGTTGATTTGAAAAAAACCCAAGACTAAAAGTCTTGGTCTAAAAGTCTAAAGACCTTTTGTTCGGACAATTTGAAGAGCTTTTTTACTTCAATTCCCTTCCAGTTGGTTCTGACAATTTGAAGACCTTTTCCCTTAAATTAGGTCAACTTTTAAGTTGATTTTAAAACCAACTTTTGTCTGAAAGTCTAAAGACTTTTGTTCTGATAATCTGAGAACCTTTTCCCTTCAATTCCCTTCCAGTTGGTCATGACAACTTGAAGATCTTTTCCCTGAAATTCCCTTCCAGCTGGTCCTGACAACTTGAAGAGCTTTTTCCTTAAATTAGGTCAACTTTTAAGTTGATTTAAATAAACCCAAGACTAAAAGTCTTGGTCTAAAAGTCTAAAGGTCTAAAAGTCTAAAGACTTTGGTTCTGACAACTTGAAGACCTTTTCCCTTCAATTCACTTCCAGTTGGTCATGACGATTTGAGCACCTTTTTCCTTAAATTACATCAACTTTTAAGTTGATTTAAATCTGGCTAAAAGTCTTGGTCTAAAAGTCAGAAGTCTAAAGACCTTTTGTTATGACAATTTAAGACTTTCAGTTCCCTTCCAGTTGGTCATGACAACTTGAAGACCTTTCCCCTTAAATTATCTCAGCTTTTAAGTTGATCTAGAAACCCCAATTTTGTCTAAAGAAGACTATTATTATTCTAATGATTCTACTGATTCTGTGTTCTCTCAACACCCTAAGCTGAAAAAACAAACCTGATATGCAAATAATTGGAGTAAAACCATGAAAACAACCAAACCAATGACTATAACAGTTGCAAATCTGAGTCTAAAAAGCACAACAAGATGCAGTAAAACAATGACAAGGCTTGATTTTTTTTATTCTGTAGAGAACTGTTTGTGCAAATTCAGTAATTCAACTGAAGAGATAATTTTACAGCTATGTTCAATAAAGCCTCTTTCCAGGTAAGGTATTGCCACGTGGTATGTGTGTTTGTTGAGCAAGGTGCCCCTGTAGCTGCCATGGCTTCGGCTTGCCCTGCAGAAACTGGTGTTGACTGAAGTTCTAATGGGCCATACTGGTGATGCACTGGGGCTGGAGCTTCCCAAGGATGCTGGGGGCTTCCTCCTTTGTAGGCAGTTTAAGGTGCTGTAAGCAAAGACAGTGGGAGCTCCAATTCTCGATGGACTGTGGGGTTTTGGAGCTCCAAGTCTGCATGGAACTGTGGGTTTGAAAGACAGTGAGAGCTCCAAGTCTGAATGGACTGTGGTATTTGAGAGCTCCAAGTCTGGATGGAACTGTGGGGTTTGAGAGCTTCAAGTCTGGATGGAACTGTGGGTTTGGGAGCTCCAAGCCAAGTCTGGGTGGACTGTTGGGTTTGGAACACAGTGGGAGCTCTGAGTCTGGATGGACTGCTGGGTTTGGGAGCTCCAAGTCTGGATGGACTGTCGGGTTTGGAAGACAATACTGGATGGACTGTTGGGTTTGGAAGACAATGGGAGCTCTGAGTCTGGATGGACCATGAGGTTTGACACTCTTAAACAAGACAAACCACCAACCTTCCCATTGGCAAACACTGGACTGTAATTGTGGCTGGCTGGCTGGCTGGAGGACCAGGTCAGGTATGGTGAGACCCTGATGCAGTTTCTGCCTAGGAGTTTGGTGTGGCTCATACCTCAGGAGTTGTGGAATCCAATGCTTGATCCTGCTGATATTTGGGGAAAGCCACAGCAGTGAAGGATGCTCCAGGAGGTTGTCTGTGGGCACTTTTTGGAGGGGCTGGCTTTGCCCAGGCTCCTGGGAGCCTTGCCAGAACTGGATACATTTTCCTCTTACACTTCTCACCCTGTGTCTGACCAACATGTGATCTGGGTGGCCCTTTTGGTCCTCATTTTCTGCTCTGAGCAGCAGCTGCAGTGATGCTCCAGGCTGGAGCCACAGTGGGAGCTGCCATGAGGTCCCACAACTCAGGGACAGGCACATGTGCTCTTGCTTTGCCACACTGAGCTGATGACAAACCTGGTTCTGCTGGATTTGATGTTGCGCAACTTCACTGTCCTGAGAGATTAAATGGAACATGGAAAAAGGAGTGGAAATCTGTTAATCATTCCCATAGAATCCAGAATGGTTTGGGTTGGAAGGACTTTAAAGCCCATCCTCATTCCAACCCCTGCCATGAGCAGGGTCACCTTCCACTAGCCCAGATTGAAGTCCAACATGAAACATTCCATTTCCTTTCAAATATTTTCCTGGTTTTCCAAAACTAGACTCAAAGAAAAGGGAAACTTGGCTGCCCATGGATGAGCACAGGCCAGGAGAAATATCTTCCCAGCACCAGGCAGAGCTCCAGCCCCAGGGCTGGTGGTGGTGGTAGTGTGATGGGAGGATTGGGAAAGCACCTTGTGACGTCCTCTCAGGCAGCTGTGATGAAGACAAGCTGAAGATAAGGAAACTGAGATGCTGCTTGTTTAGATCCCAAGCTAAGACCACACTGCAATCCCTATTTCCTCCTTCCATTGTGATTTTTGTGTCCCTCACTCATGTTGAGTGTTTGATAAGGAGCTTTGATTGACAGCCAAGGGCCATAGACATCCTTCAGGGCAGGATAATCTGTCTGGCGTGTAAGCTCAGGTCTTTGTGTGAGATGAAATATATTTCCCACCCCTATTCCAGTTTTCCTCTGCAGAAGGTGCTAAGAAAAGCTGATTTTCTCTTTCCAGTGTTGACTTAGGAGTAGTGTTACTTTCCTTTACATTCCCAATAGAATCCACTAAAAAGGAAAAGGGATTTGACTCCACGAAGAACAAATTGAGATGTGTATTTCCTTGGATTTCATTTTATATCTCATTTTGGGGTGAAAATAGATGGAGTATTTGTAACAATCAGACAAAGGGAATTTGAACTGGCAGGGCCTCCGTGGAATCTGAAATCCTTCTGGATTAGCCCAGGTAGTAACATCTCTGATGTGTTTTTAAACTGGACATCAAACAGAGTTGTAGTACTGTGGAATGTGAAGCACCTACAGCACTGGGATGTGGGATCTGTTACTGGTTTTGGTGGGATGGAGCTGGGAGTTAGTTGGTTGTTCCCAAGGGAGAGGTAGGTAGAGCCAGAATAAAACATGATAAAACTCAGGCTGATGTGGATGGATAAGGATATTATTTGACCCTTCCTTTCCATTGCCTCCAACAGAGCCAGGCAAGGGCATTGCTGGCACAAAGTACTTTGGGATGTGAATTATAGACTCACAGAATGGTTTGGGTTGGAAAGGACATTCAAAGGTCATTTTGTCTAATCCCCTTCCACTTTTGCAACTAGAGGGGTTTGCCCAAAGCCCCATCCACCCTGACCTTGAATGTTTCCAGGGCTGAGCCAGCCACAGCTTCTCTGGGCAACTTGGATCCCACATGCAGTTCTGAAGCACTTGGAGCTCAGTATGCTACCAACACACCTCTTCTCCAGCCAGGCCTGGATCGTGGGTGGGACACAAGGAGGAATAAAGGAGCACAGGGGGGAAAACACATACAAATGCCACTATAGATGCATGATTTGAAGGCAGGAGCAGGTCTTTGAAAGCCCATCCAAGTGGTGATGGCCTGTGTGATGAAGGCTGGTGGAGGACAAAGTCTTTACACTGAGCCCATCTCATGTCAGCCTGTTTCTGGAGGTTTATCTAAGGGTGTGCTACTGTGAGACCCACAAAAATCCTTGGAAATGTGACATTTCCTCTTAATTTGGGAAAGGAGCTGCCACTTAACTCAGAAGAGATGGAGCAGCAGCTGCCAGGCCCTGAATGACTGCAAGCCCCATGTAGTACTGAGCTCCACTGATGCCAGAGCTTTCCTTCTTGTCACCCAT